TGGATTTATACCTTTATCAGGGGTGTTTGTGCATAACTGGAATTGGAACTCGGTACTGACCAGGCTCGAGGTTGCTTAACTTTGGTGATCATATAGGAACTGATGTTTCAATGCGATGTGGCCATAAGCCAATTTTACAGTGCTGTGCCTTAACATATGCTTACTCATTGCTAAATTGCAAGAAATTGTAACCCCAAAATCTTATAATAGAAAAACTTTCTCAAATGCGTGTCAATGAATTTCTTTCCTGAAATGAATTCTGAGAAAATATAACTCCACATATTTTACATAAAAAGCTTTCTCTCCATTGTGGACTATCATATACTATTTACGATTCATATTCTAAAAAAATGGAAAGACTTTTCTACTATGCATGTGTTAACATGTGCTGTTTGAGATGTGCCTTTCGTGTAAATCTGACATCACAAATTTCACAGTGAAAAGGTTTCTCTCCAGTGTGTATTCTCATATGCAGCTGAAGACTTGAATTTGTAAGAAATGTTATGCTACACATCTCACAATGGAAAGGCTTCTCTCCAGTGTGTTTAAACATGTGAAGCCTGAGGTGTGCACTTTGTGTAAATCTGTTTCCACAGATTTGACAGTGAAAAGGTTTCTCTCCAGTGTGTATCCTCATATGCAGCTTGAGACTTGAATTTGTTAGAAATGTTTTATTACACTTTTTACAAAGGAAATTTTTCTCTCCTGTGTGTTTTAACATGTGTACCTTGAGGTGTGCATTTTGGGTAAATCTGACTTCACAGATTTCACAGTAAAAAGGTTTCTCTCCAGTGTGTATCCTCATATGCAATTTGAGACTTGAATTCCTGGAAAATCTCCGTTCACATATTTCACACATGAAAGGCTTCTCTCCAGTGTGTGTTAACATGTGCTGGTTGAGAGTGGAACTTTGGGAAAATGTAACTCCACAGATTTCACATGGAAAAGGTTTTTCTCCAGTGTGTGTTAGCATGTGCTGCTTGAGATTTGAATTTATAGTAAATCTATCTCCACAGGTTTCACATGAAAAAGGTTTCTCTCCAGTGTGTATTAGCATATGCTGTTTGAGACTTGAATTTGCAGAAAATTTAGCTCCACATGTCTCACAATGAAATGGTTTCTCTCCTATATGTGTTCTTACATGTCTCTCCAGATGAGACTCTCTGCGAGCTATTAATCCACAAATTTCACACTGTAAAGACTTTTTCTTTTTATGAAGATTCATACCTCTTTCCAGTACTGTCAAGATGCAAGCTGTAAAAAAAAGAAATTAATCAGTAAAGAACACATTATTTTGGTATTATGAATGTAAGAAAAACAAAAACTTCCTTTTTCCTCACGGATTCTTTTCTTAATGCTTCTTCTCAAATCTCCAAACAATGCAACATTAAATGCAGTATCCATCAAGTAGAGGATATGATCTGCTATTCTAAAGGAATCTCTTATCCCCTCACATTTATGACAAGAGGGAATGACGGCAGAAATATTGTTCCACTAATCTTTCAATTAATTTTAAACTACTTTTCAAACACATATGTGTATATAATGCATGTCTGAAAGTTTACAACAGTAAAGTATTTTAATTAAAAACATTTTGCTATTTCAAATATTTTTTTAAGTTCTTTTGTTAACATCATGGCTTCTACACATTGTGTAGTAGCTGTCTCTCCATTTTCATTCAATCCAGATGCTTGACAAAGATAATCCAAAAGTTGAAATATAAGTTAACAATAAGTCTTCAAGCAAAAACTATTTTTGAATATCTTATTTGGAAATTTTGAATCAGATTCTAAAATAAATTGGCAGTGATGTACCGAAATATTCTTTCTGTGGCCATGTTTAACCTTCATACCCACAAAAAAAAAAATGATATATCAAAAAGGAGTTATTCTCTTGACATTACTATTACTGTATACACTTTTGACTCATTTACAAGATTATAAAAATATGTGAACCAAGTACAATGTGACGTTTGTTATTTAACTTTTATAAAGATTTCTTATTTACCATTTTATAAAGAAATTTGAAAAGAAATCCTTTTTATTAAAAAATGTATAAAAAAATTATCAAAGTTTGTAAACCAACTACAACACAATATTTATTATTTACCATTTTATAAATACTTTCTTTTATTTAGTCTAATAAATAAATAGTGTTTGATATCTTAATTGTCAATGAAGATTCATACCTCTTTCCAGTACTGTCAAGATGCAAGCTGGAAAAAAGAAAAATTAATTAATCAAGAACACATTATTTTGGCATTATGAATGTAAGAAAAACAAAACTTTTTTTCTCTTGGATTCTTTTCTTAAAGCTTCTCCCAAATCTCTAAACAATGCAATATAAAAAGTAAAAAAGACATTAAAAAAAATCAAAATATGTAAACAAACTACAATGCAATGTTTATTATTTACCATTTTATAAATAACTATGTGTTGTGTCAGAAACCTACCACCCCTCTTGAAGATGAACTTGTCTGCGTCTGTGAACAAAGACTTTAAATAGTGGCATGTCAGTTGACATGAGGAAGATAGATAGACAGAGAAGTTCTTAGCTGAGCTAGTTATTGACTACTCAGGCAATTTCTGTACCTTTTTACCAACCTATTAAAACCCTTTTTATTGTTACGTGTTATTTGGCGTTTGTCTCTACTAACCCCAAATCAACATCATAACACTATGAAAACAAGTTTTTTATTTAGTCTAATAAATAAATAGTGTTTAATATCTTAGTTGTCATTTTACACTTGAGTTGGCTAGATGTAACTGTAAGTACTGTGCTAGCAGTTTCTTTTCTCACTTGTTTGTTTAGTGGCATATCAACACTTTATGGGTCATCTAATGCCAAAATTTTTCTTGGGAGCATTAGTAATTTCTTTTACAAAAATGTTATGCTAGTAATTTTTCATTTCAAAAAATGCATTCCTGGTAATTTTCTTTTTTTTTTTACAAAATGTATTGCTGATAATTTTGTTTTTACTATGAAAATGTATTACTGGTATTTTTACTATAGTGTTTTGACCCCAACTTGAGAGTCAACTATTTGCCCACAGCTGGGACCCTAACAGGTGCTACCACCCTGGGTCAGGCTGGACCTGGGAACAACAGCAATTAGGAAATGATTCTGCACTCCTTAAAACCTCCTGATCAGAGGCCTTGTTGCGGAATGTAGTTTATTGTCATATCCATGATGTCTTCTTCCTTATGGAGCTCCCTTCCAGCTCCATGCTTTCCCGTCAACTTTAATCTTCAAAAGTTTAAATGCAATGTCAATCACTATCTGCTGTCCTCCTGATTATTCTTCTTTTGTTCTCACTCCTTAGTAACGTTTTTTTCTATTACTTCCACACCGAGTAACCTCCCACCCCGTGTCTTTTTGGTTTTATCGCCTTGCTTGAGGTGATTGCAATTTTTAAAATAAATTCTTGACAATAAAGAAAATGAATAAATCCATTTTCAAATGTCTGGGGTTTATTAAAATTGTTATCACCACTTTTTAGAAACAATAAATGTTTCTGAAGGAATCAAAACTGTATACAGTAATCAGTGTCAAAAGAATAACCATTTGACATGACATTTTTATGGACACAAAGATTAAATATTGCTGAATTTTCACTTTTCTCTAGTATTCTTATTCCTTAAGAACACTGCCCAAATTTCCCCAAAATGCAACATTCTACCCAGTTTTCAACAAATACAAGAGTATAATTTGCTATTTTAAAGGAATCTCTCATGATCTTAACTTTACGACAAGAGACAAGAGAGAATCTCTCATGATCTTAACTTTACGACAAGGTTGTTTGGTTGATATAGCTTCCAATATTATAAACAGAGCATTTACTGTTCAATTAATCCTCAAAAAATAGTCCATTCTACTTTTAAAACATATACTTGTATGAAATGGACAAAGTCCGACAATTATTTTAAGACATTTTTATGTTTATATGTTCTTTTTATAGGTACAAATATTTAAGTAAATACTGTTAATACTGTCTATTATAAACAGAGCATTTACTTAAATATTTGTATCTATAAAAAGAATGTATATACGTGTATACAATAACTGTTATACTATGTACAGCTGTTACTAAAAGTATTCAATCATATAGCTCAGGGCCTACTAATAACAATATTACCAACTATAAACATTATGTAAAAAACATTATATTAAATCACTAACCTTTGTTGAATCCATTCATAAAGAATCTAATGTATGCTTATCTAAAGTATACTCTATGTATGTATGAATGTTCCCAAATCAACACACGGAAAACCATCAAGCGTAATATCTACTAGACATACACCCACACTTACGAATATACATTATCATCTGAATCCCACATAGACAAATTAGAATTTTTAGACACTTACATACATTAAGCAATATTTACTTTTTTTCAGGCTTGGAATCTATCAATTTCTCGAAACTTTGAATAGATGCATAACATCTTCTTAAATTCAGAATGCCAGAAATTATATTAATGTTAGTTCAACAAGTCAAATGCATGTGAAACATGATTAACCAATGAAAATCAAACAGCACAAAAGTAAAAAGAAACAGAATTTCTTTTTATACGTATCTTAGGAGAAGCTTTAATAAAAGTGAGCTGATAATTGATAAACATTTACAATTTGTTCTTTATCTTATCCTAGCTTAATTAATAACATTTTTCTTTATTTTAAACATTGTGTTAGTTCCTAGCTTGCCATTAGGGCTTCTACACACTGTAAACATTTTGATTGATTCAGTCATTTCCTATGGCTTATTAACCCATTGCAAGTTACTTAAAACCAGAAAATATTTTTAGATTGTAAGAATTTTTTTTTTTTTTTGAGATATAAAAACCCATTGCTGGGAGTAGAAGAGACGGATTCATATCTTTCACAAAAGGTGTTAGCGTGTAAGGGTATATAACACATCCAAATGGAATAGGAACTCTGCTTTCCAATTAACAATTCTCAGTCATTATCCATTACACCACCCATACATCCAAGCTTATTGCACGTGGTATTCCCAAGTGGTCACCTATCTAGGTACTGAACAGGCTCGAGGTTGCTTAACTTTGGTAATCATACAGGAACTAGTGTTTCAACACAATGTGGCTGTAAGCCAATTTTGCAATGGTGTGCCTTAACATATGCTTACTCATTGCTGAATTGCAAGAATTTGCAACCCCAAAATCTTATAATAGAAAAACTTTCTCAAATGCGTGTCAATGAATTTCTTTACTGAAATGAATTCTGAGAAAATATAACTCCACATATTTTGCATAAAAAGCTTTCTCTCCATTGTGGACTATCATATACCATTTATGATTCATATTCTAAAAAAATGGAAAGGCTTTTCTACTATGCATGTGTTAACATGTGCTGTTTGAGATGTGCCTTTCGTGTAAATCTGACATCACAAATTTCACAGTGTAAAAGGGTTCTCTCCAGTGTGTATTCTCATATGCAGCTGAAGACTTGAATTTGTAAGGAATGTTTTGTTACACATCTCACAACGGAAAGGCTTCTCCTCAGTGTATACAGTGATGGTACAGGAATTGGTGTTTCAATCTGATATCCCTGTAAGCCTCTAACATTTTGATCCTAGCAACCAGTTTGACAATGATGAACCAAAAGCTACTCCTGTGTTCGCTACTGTTGTTGCTTTTGTTGTTTGTTTATTTAATGGCATATCAACTCCTTATGGGTCATTTAATACTGAAATTTAATTTTCTAGTGAGCTTTGAAGTAATAAAAATATGTTATGTTATTCTGCTTTCACAATTGAATACATGGTAGATGACACTCAGCTTTTGTGCATGTACATGTTTGTGTGGACAATTACTAGAAGGCGATGATATGTGTGTTTTATATTGTAGTTTTGTTGAAGTTGGATTTTGGAATACTTTTTGATTTCTTTAAGAAATTGTAGGATATTATATGGCTTAATGTCATGAAAGAATTCCTTCATGTTGGTTGTTTGGTTGGTATAGTTTAGCGACATATCAACATCCATGAGCCATTCAATGCCAAAATGTAAATAATTTGAACAATTTTATGGCCTCAACTAAATATATTTTAAACACAATTTAATGCCTTCAACTACAGATAAAAGGTATTGCTGGTCATGTTGCTTTAAAAATGTATTATTGCTAATTTTACTATAAGTAGGTATTGTTGCTAATTTTACTACAAATAGGTAGTGTTGCTATTTATTGTTTTTTTACACAAAGATGCATTGCTTGTATTTTTATACTTTAATAGCATTTGGGGGGGGGGTCACTATTTGCCCATAGAGTGTACCTGGGAACAGCAGCAAGTAAGCGTTGGTTCCATGCTCCTCAAAACCTCCAATCTCCCAATCAGAGGCCTTGCTGCTGGATATAGTTTATTATCATATCCAGGACTTGCATTCAATGCTTCCTGGATTAATGAATTATGAAATCTAAGTAAATGCAACAGATATTCAAACAAAAACACATTTTAAATATCCTCTATGCACATTTCGGCAAATTTGGACCTTCATGCCCACAAAACACCAGCATGTTTAAAGGACGGTTTTCCCTTGACACTGCTACTATTTTAACTACCTTTACTCCTCAGCAGTGCTTAATGTTTTAAAAAGCAATGATTTGATTTGTAATAAAACCTAAACATATGATGAAAGTGAATTTATACATTTTTTGTTCTTGAGAATTTACAACACAAATATTGAACTCTAATTATTTATTAGATTGTTTATTTAAAAAGAATAATTTTATATTTACAACCTTCTAAAAAACTAATACAACTTGAACTAATGTAATGCAATATTTATCCTTAGCTAATTAATACGAAAACAATTTTTTATTCATAAATTTATATATATTTACTAAATTATTAAAATATGTGAACCAACTAAAAGAAAATCCTTATCATTTACCATTTTATAAAGTTTGAATCAATTGACAATTAGCCGATGTTTTGCCAACCATTCCAATAGATAATATAACAAATAAATAGTGTAAACAAACAATCTAGTAAATAGTGCTTGTTGTCAGTTCTCAAGAACAGAGAAAATGTATAAATTCACTTTCATCATATGTTTAGGTTTTATTAAAATTCTAATCATCTCTTTTTTACAGACATATCACATTGAAATACTGGTTCCTGTATGATCACCAAAGTTAGGCAACATTGAGCCTGATCATTACCTAGATGAGTGACCATTTGGGAATACCAAGTGCTGTATGTGGTGGTTTATTGGATAATGGCTGAGAATTGTTAATTGGTGAGCTGAGTTCCAATTCCAGTTGGGTTTGTTATATTCAATTATATGCAAATAACCTTGGGAAAGGCATGAAACTACCTTTTTTTCCTCTAGCTATTGGTTAATTAGTAGGATTTGCATCAATAAAAGAAATTATTACCATCCCCACAAATTCTGAATAGTGAGTTCAATCGTTATTGAGTGTCCCATATTTTTGGCCTAGTGCTATGTTATGCTTAGTACAGGAAATGAAAATGAGTTAGCAAGTTTGTGTCACTAGAACAATTATTGCTGAGTAGTGAGTTTGAGTCACACTGGGTGTCCTATACTTTCAGGCTTTTGTCATATTTAAGCTACACTTAGAAAATCCCCATCCCAAGCAAGGCATCATTGCCACTAAGACATGAGTGACTACTGGGAGTGAGAGAGAATAAGAAGACTATTGCAAAAGCTGGAAACCCAGTCCTCAAACTGGGGAAACCTCTTCTCCTGTTCAAAAGATCAGGAAGGAATGTGAACCAGAAGATACAATGCAATATTTCATTTTTTACTATTTTATAAAGATTAGTATTTCATTTTTTATTGTTTTATGAAGGTTAGCATTTCAGTTTTTACTTTTTTATAAAGATTAGCATTTCATTTCTTACTGTTTTATAAAGATTAGCATTTCATTTTTTACTGTTTTATAAAGATTAGCATTTCATTTTTTACTGTTTTATAAAGATTAGCATTTCATTTTTTACTGTTTTATAAAGATTAGCATTTCATTTTTTACTGTTTTATAAAGATTAGCATTTCATTTTTCACTATTTTATAAAGATTAGCATTTCATTTTTTACTATTTTATAAAGATTAGCATTTCATTTTTTACTATTTTATAAAGATTAGCATTTCATTTTTTTAATATTTTATAAAGATTAGCATTTCATTTTTTCCTGCTTTATGAAGATTAGCATTTCATTTTTTACCATTTTATAAAGATTAGCATTTCATTTTTTACTGTTTTATAAAGATTAGCATTTCAGTTTTTATTTTATAAAGATTATTTTTTTTAATATTTTATAAAGATTAGCATTTCATTTTTTTTATAAAGATTAGCATTTCAGTTTTACTGTTTTATAAAGATTAGCATTTCAGTTTTCACTATTTTATAAAGATTAGCATTTCATTTTTTCATATTTTATAAAGATTAGTATTTCATTTTTTACTGCTTTATGAAGATTAGCATTTCATTTTTTACTATTTTATAAAGATTAGCATTTCATTTTTTACTGTTTTATAAAGATTAGCATTTCATTTTTTACTATTTTATAAAGATTAGCATGTCATTTTTTAATATTTTATAAAGATTAGCATTTCAGTTTTCACTATTTTATAAAGATTAGCATTTCATTTTTTACTGTTTTATAAAGATTAGCATTTCAGTTTTCACTATTTTATAAAGATTAGCATTTCATTTTTTACTGTTTTATAAAGATTAGCATTTCAGTTTTCACTATTTTATAAAGATTTTCATTTTTTTTTTCATTTTTTACTGTTTTATAAAGATTAGCATTTCAATAAATTTCAGTTTTACTGTTTTATAAAGATTAGCATTTTCATTTTTTACTATTTTATAAAGATTAGCATTTCATTTTTTACTATTTTTAGCATTTCATTTTTACTATTTTATAAAGATTAGCATTTCAGTTTTCACTATTTTATAAAGATTAGCATTTCATTTTTTACTGTTTTATAAAGATTAGCATTTCAGTTTTCACTATTTTATAAAGATTAGCATGTCATTTTTTAATATTTTATAAAGATTAGCATTTCAGTTTTCACTGTTTTATAAAGATTAGCATGTCATTTTTTAATATTTTATAAAGATTAGCATTTCAGTTTTCACTGTTTTATAAAGATTAGCATTTCAGTTTTTACTGTTTTATAAAGATTAGCATTTCAGTTTTTCACTTTTATTTTATAAAGATTAGCATTTCAGTTTTACTATTTTATAAAGATTAGCATTTCATTTTTTAATATTTTATAAAGATTAGCATTTCAGTTTTCACTGTTTTATAAAGATTAGCATTTCATTTTTTACTGTTTTAGAAAGATTATTTTTTTTCACTATTTTAAAAGATTAGCATTTCAGTTTTCACTATTTTATAAAGATTAGCATGTCATTTTTTAATATTTTATAAAGATTAGCATTTCAGTTTTCACTGTTTTATAAAGATTAGCATTTCAGTTTTTACTGTTTTATAAAGATTAGCATTTCAGTTTTCACTATTTTATAAAGATTAGCATTTCATTTTTTACTATTTTATAAAGATTTATTATTTACCATTTCATAAATGAAAAAAATCTTTTTATTCAAAAATGTTTGTGAACTATCGAACAAAATATTTTAAATAATTTTCTGGACATTAAATATTTTCTTCTCACATTATTTAGTACTCAGATTCTTTTATCTTATCTATTTTTTTTTTTTTTAATAATCACAATTTAGAATCAAGGATGTCTAATCCATAAAAAGACATGGTAAAAATTACAGACAGCTTGTCCATCCAATGAATAGGAAGATACATGCTCAAAATATTCGTGGTCTCACCTACAATTAAAAGGATTTTTGGTTTAGATGCTTGCAATCTATTTTAGTGAATTTATGTAGCAAGAACAAATGAAAGCAATGTCCAGAAAATGCATTTTCCTAAAATTTCATAATTACATTGTCGCAGTGTGCCCGATCACCACTCCTACCTTGCGTAAACAATCTCGGATATGCCTGCTGGTAGAGAAAGGTCACAACCCTCGTGTGCTAAAAATAGCAATGACCTCCTTTCAAACTGACAAAAAAAACCCCACAAAACTCAATTTTCGCCACTAAACAAAAGTAAAAGACCTTTAATTTCGAACTGAAATTAATTTAAATACAGTCAACAAACACATTTTGACTGTAATTAATATGGCCTGAAATTAATTATATTCATTTACTTGTTTAGCATCACCGCTTCCCTTGTATGAACAGTCTTATATAGATGCCAGTGACTTTTTTTTTTTTTAGCCAGGGAGCAGCCCGGCCTTCGGGCTGGGTTGCGACCATGGCAAAGTCTAGTTTGGACCGTATCAGGACCTGCTAAGACAAGCCAAGACCAACTTGGACCAAAACTTGACTAAGCTTTGACCAGCTTGGACATGTTATGACTAATCTTTTCACCAGTGACCCTATGCAGGAACGCTCGGGTTTCCCACGGAAAACGACCTTGTGTCACATCTTGACCTCATGGGAGTCAAATAAATACCGCTGGCCAGGCCACAACCCAGTCTTCGGGCTGGGTTGCAATCATGTCTAAGTCTAGTTTGGACCATATCATGACCTGCTAAGACAAGCCAAGACCAACTTGGACCAGAACCTGACTAAGCTTTGACCAACTTGGACATGTTATGACCAAAATTTGGACTAAAACTTGACTAAGCTTTGACCAGCTTGGACATGTTATGACCAAAACATTGACCAAGCTTTGACATGTTATGACCAATCTTTGACCAGTGACCCTATGGGGAAATGCTCGGGTTTCCCACGAAAAACGACCTTGTGTCATGTCTTGACCTCGTGGGATTCAAGTAAATACCGCCAGCAAGGAAGCTGGGAGTCTCCCTGAATTGCGACTTTGAGCAGCAGTTGTTCAAACAGTCCTTTTCAGGGCTAACTTCTGAATGTCATTCGATCACCACTCTTCAAGGCTCCACTCACTTCACTCTCTGCTACTGCTTGCTCTCTGAGTTGCCAGCTCACTCATGCAGCTTCCAGCAGTCTCCAGCTCACTCTTGCGGCGCTTTACTGATGTCCTGCTACCTATTCCAGCACCCGCTGATGATCTGATCCAGTACCCACTGGCAACCAGTTCCAGCGCACAGTTACCGTCCAGATACAGGACCCAAACCTCTATCGCCTTACTATCCACCGTTCACAAAATTAAAGACACGATTTCCCTCATCTACAACTGACCATCTGCGTTTGTCACCCTTCTTTGCTATTGCTGTCTCCTTGCCTTTGTGTCCCCTTTTTTAGTTGTACGGTCGATTGGCACTCACACCTCTCGGCCCACTGCAACAACATTTACTCATCATTGCTGGGCAATAAACCCAGTACCCTCCCGAATTACAGGGAGGCATGGTGGAGTAGTGAATAGCAGCTCGAATTGAGGAATCAGAGAGCCAAGTTTGAATTCCAGTCAAATCCATTAAAATACATTCACTTATGTGCTAATACCCTAGGGAAAGGTATGAATCCTCTTCTTCTCCCACTTCCCTCCATCTATCGGTAAATAGCAGGATAGACCGGGTTCTATAGCTTTGGATGGCAATTGGTCTACCACAGAAAGAAATAGCAACCTCGTCAGTCATGTATCGAAAGATACATGATCGCCTAAGCGTGTATCACGCATGGTACACAACTGACTGACCCTCCCAAAAGAGTTGTACTTCATGGGGGTGGGGATGGAATCCGGTGGCTTGAGCGAATATTATTAGCAGCAGAACGACTCCTTTCTGCCGGCCATCATACGATCGGATACTCGCATACCGACAACTTAGTGCTTTGCTTTCATTTCCTTTTTGGGTATTTATGCCTTAGCTATGCTAATTCAACAGTCATTTCATTTACATATCACTACGCTACAATTAAATAAAAAAATAAAAAAAACTCATTTTCGATAACAGACAGAACAAAAAAAATACATCATTTTTAGCTTCACTGGAGTGGAAAGTTAAAGTTTTTCATTGTTTTCCGATTTAAATTTGAACACTGAGTCATTTTATCAACGAGATTAAATTTACCGTTGACAGAGTATTTTATCTTTGTTTAAAAATACAAATTTAAAAAAAATATATATAGTTGCATTTTTGCCTTTTTAATTAAATTAGTAAAATTAACAAACAAAACGTGTTGCAAAAATGAGTTTTCCAATATTGTCATTTCCTTTTTGTATGTTTCGATCAGCCTGAAGTTCTAAAATAAATCCCAAAGAAAGACAACCTTTACCGATTTTTTATCTAATGTTAATAATTTGAAAACTAATATTTTTCGACAATGAACAAAAATCAACTGCTTTTTCACGGAATATTTTTTTCAGATACAGACTTCAACTCACCTTTTCAAAGTGAATCTGAACTTTTCAGGAAAAATATGAGTTGCGCCCTGTTGACTAGGGATTTCGTTGTCATTCTATAAAATATTATTTTGTAATGAACAATACTATACTCAAATAATCTCCAGTTTAAAAAAAAAAATGACTTAAATTTTTTAAAGGACTGCAAAAAATAAAATGTCTAGTTCCTGGACCCAATTTTCTTACAACCGGTGGATAAGAAGATTTTGTTCCTTACAATAAAAATTAACAATAAAACAACATAAATATTGCCGATAAATTTCATTATTTTTGTTTTTACTTTATTTTTCTACGATTGTCGCAGCGGTTATCGAAGTGTAATCGACGAGACGAGTTCAAATTCCAACCTAGTCTTTTACGGTAATTTTTTTTTTTTTTTGGCATAAAGACTCCACCTTGTCTCTTACTCCTCATTTCTGGTTTAGGGTATACTAGCCTCTCTAAACTTTATTGGGAGGCTAGTGAAGAAAGAATGCAAAACCGTGGAAAAGGCAACGAGTAAAAACTCCACTACTCGACAGAAAATGAATAAAAATAAAATAAAAAAGAGTCTTGATTTCAATCTTGATTCTTGATTGTCGAATTCCCGAAAGGGTATAGAATTGAGAAAACGTACATTCTTCTAAATTTATATTTGCATTATTTTTCTGTTTATTAATAACACTCTTTCCAACGTATCTGTGGCGAATGAACAACACAAGTATTTGATTACAAAATTTAAGTTAAAATTAAATAGCATTGTCGTTACGTTGTCCGGGCGTTTATTAGATGGGATACTACAATTGGGTTAACACCGTTTCAAACACCGCACTTAATAATTTCTTTATAGCATGCCATAAAGAAATTATTAATTTATTAAGTGTAAAACGTAAATAATATAGCAACTATATTATCTATGTCTACCTTAATATTTTAATGCAAAGGACAATATGAACGAAAATGATTTTTGTGTGAATTTCCAGGATGGGGAAAATCACTATTTATCGGACTATCATCCTCATCTTTGCTCTTGTTATCCACAAAGTTCCGGCCTTCATCAGGTCAGGTGTATGTATATATCAATCTGGGTAACCTATACTACAGTGAATTCTCAACTGAGTCCTTTATTTAATTTATGGGGGTAGACTGTTTTCGTTCCACTGGCCATGCCTAGAAATATCTCGTCTAGTTCTTATTTTTAATACTGCTCAGTTATTGCTCACTATGTTTCCACTGAGTCCAAGAATACACTGCCCTGCTCGAGGACTAAACTCACAGTTATTATGTCATCAAATTCGCAAAGCTTTTCCTTAATCCACAAGTCTTCAATAGCAGCAGTAGCTGTAACAAATGAGTGTAATCAAGTATGACAAACAGCAGCAGTAGCACTCATCAGCAGTCAGGTTAGGTTTAAGCCTCAAGTTTTGCACGGCCTAGTGCATTCTAATTAACCCAGAAGGTAGAAGAGGCGGATTCATGCTGTTCCCAAGGATATTTGCATGTAAGTGACTATAACAGGAATTGGATCTTAGCTCTTCAGTTAACAATTCTGAGACATTATACATTACATCACTTGCACATCCAAGCTTACAGCACCTAATATTCCCAAGTGGTCACCCATCTATGTACTGACCAAGCTTGACATTGCTTAACTTTGGGGATTTTACAGGAACCAGTGTTTCAATGTGATGTGGCCATAAGCTTTTCTGATTTTTGTTTTCCTGCCAAGCTAAGTTTTCATAACATCTTATTTGCAGCTACACCTTGCTAAACATAGAAATTCTACAGTGTCTTCTGCGTATCTCCATATTTAAAACCTATTCTTGTAAAATTAAGCTTAGAATAATTTAATCTACATGCTTTACAGTCTTGACATTTTGACCTCTTCCACTTGTTAAACAGTCTGATGCACAAACAGAATGTTTTCAGAACAGAAGCCATAATTTGCAGAAACTTGCATTTGTATTAATTTTACATCTAGCCTAAACTCTTCCAAATAACATATTTCTTTCTTTTTCTTTTCTTTTTTTTTTGAAGAGCTTCCTGGTTGAACTGGGAACATTGTAGCATTGTTTATTTTTTGTTCACACCAATGAATTTCTCAAAAAGGCTTGCTATAATGAGTGACTATTTTGAGAAATTGGCTGAAAAGTTTTCCCAATGTGAACTAGTAATAGCAGAAAAACCAATAAAGAATGTTTACAAGAGTCAATAAAAATGTACCAATAGGTACAGATAAATTTATGTCAGGATTCAATTAAAAATCCCTACATGAACTTTAAAAAAGGAAAATGAACACATATAGTCTGAAATAATGAGTACATATGAGGTCTGGTCAAAAAGTATTGGAACTGTTGCCATGGTAAAAGAGCTAAAGTATTCAGAGTGAAGTCGCTCAACACTGATTGGCCTTGAACCCCTTCATAAGTTATAACATTGTTTCTCACTTCCGTTATTTATAGCAGAGCTTGGGAGGAAAGCGTGTAGAGAGTGTCTCACCAAACCACAAACTCCATCAGTATACATGGCTTGTGCAGTAGTTTTTGGTCATTCACTAGTTCCTACACAAACCATATTCCCCAGACTGCATCCCTTACAACTTTTTATTCTTCAAAAATCAAATCCCACTTAAGAGAAACAAGATTTCAAGACATCAATGAAATCCAAGAGAATGTGATGAAACAGCTGCTCATTATCCCTAAATAGATGTTCGAAGAATGCTTTCATCAATGGAAACAATACTGGATAAAGTGTGTGGCTTCAGAAGAGGACTACTTTGAAGGAGATTAAATGTCGAGTTGATATGTGTTGCAGTTTTCCTTTTATATTAGCAGACCCCATACTTTTCCATCCAACTTCATATGTAATTTTTTTTTTTTGTTTTTTTTTTTAAGCATTGTGCCCCAAGCAAGGCGTGAAGCCACTAGGATGCAGGGGATTGCGGAAGATTTGGAGCGAGAGCAGATAAGAGTGATAGGAGAAAGGAAGAGGAGAAGGATAGTGGGTAGATCAAGGTAATTGGAGATGTCGATTGACATTACATTTGAATAGTTGGAGATTATAGCTTTCAGAGAAACAGTAATTGGGGAGGGTGTTCCACTGGCGAGAGGTGCGAGGTATGAAGCTATTGGAGTAGAAGAGACGGCTACATTTGAAGGTTTCTATGGTGTAAGGGTGAGAGCGGGATGCCAGCCTCGTGGGGAGAATAACAAGTAAAGAAACGCAACTTCTGTAATGGAAGTTTTTATTCACAAGGAAATATAAATAATAAATATTTTATGAATTGTTCAGAGAATTAAATTCAGTTTTTTTTTTGTTTTTTTTTGTTGTTGCTTCCAAAATGTTCTGATTGATCCACTCTATGGTCATCTTTATGTATACATGTCATATGGTAAGGAAAGGTACATTTTTTTCAGCTAATGCAAATCAGAATAAGACATTATTGCAAAGAAACTGACTAGAATGAACCATTCACAGCAACATGTGTAACACAAGAAATTCCATATTTTATATGATTTTCCTCCCCAATCCTTTCCTTTTGATTTATACACCTGGAGATAGCTGTAGCAGTGAAGAGGTTAAATCTTGTAATAATAATGAAATCTATGATGTTACGACTCCAAGCAGGCTGATGAGAACGAGTACAGAAATGTTTTTGCAAAATCTTATTAATTAAATAATGATAAAATGCAATTATTTTTGTAGGAATTGCTTCCATGATTATTGCATATATATATATATATATATATATATATATATATATATATATATATATATATATATATATATATATATATATATATATATATATATATATATATATATATATATATATATATATATATATATATATATATATGTATATATATATATATATATATATATATATATATATATATATATATATATATATATGTATGTATGTATATATATATATATGTATAAGGTTATTCAAAAGGAAGAGCAGATTTCAAAAATTTTATTGCCTTGCCTGAGGTGAAATGATTAAAAAAAAAAAAATATGGATGTATGTAATATTTACCAATGAAAAGCATTTCAATTATGGCCAAGACCAGCCTTGGGTATGACAATAAACTACAACCTGCAGCAAGGCCTCTGTTCAGAAAGTTTTGAGGAGTGTGGAACCATCTCTTAATTGCTGTTGGTTTACCCTGACCTGGGGTGGCAGCACCTGTTAGGGTTCCAGCAATAGGCAAAAGATTAACTCCCAAGCTGGGGTCAAAACTATGAAAGTATAAACATTTTTATAGCAAAAATACCAGCAACATTTACAGAAAAAAAAAAATTACCAGCAATACATTTTTGTAAAAGAAATAAAAACGATCCCAAGAAAATTAAATTTCAGCATGAAATGACCCATAAGGAGTTGATATGCCACTAAACAAACAAATAAAATAGCCTAGGTAATGTTTATTTAAAATTAATGACATTGGAAAAGATTTGCAGATAGTTTTCATTAGACAATGTGTTGTCGTCTGATAACTTGATTTAATGTTGTTTCACAAGGATGCCAATTTGAAAAAGAGAATGTCCAAAGAATAAATTTTGGGACAATTTGTATCTGAATCCTGAAAATCTGTCTCGTCAGTCATGTATCAAAAGATACATGATTGCCTAAGCGCATAGAACATAACTGACTGGCTTATTATTTAACATACTAAAGATGACTAAATCTGCATGGCACCTGAAAGAGTTTTTTAAATTAAAATTAAATCCTGTATTAATCTCCAATTCCTCATTTTGTACAGCATGAATTGCCACATGGAATTTGAGATTTTCATTGCAAAAAACAAAAATGTTACACAACTCTCATCCCCATGGAATAATTCCACAATCATTAGGTTTGGTTTGTTTAATGGCATATCAACATTTTAAGGGTATTTAATGACAACATTTAATTTTCTTATGAGCTTTGATAATTTTTTTTTTTCCAAAAATGTATTGCTTTTTTGTTTTTTACGAAAATATATTGCTGGTAATTTTTGCTGATGTATTTTCATATTTTGAATCTAGTTTGTGCGTTCACTAATTTTCCAATAACTGGGACCCTAACAGATGCTACCACCTTCGGTCAGGGTGAACCTGGGAAAAGACAACAATTCCAAACACCCCAAACAGAGGCCTTGCCGCAGAATGTAGTTTATTATCATACCCAGGACAAATGTGCAATATCACATATTTACTCAATGCTGAATTCAAAACAACCCCAAAATCTCATAATGGAAAAATGTTTCAAGTGTTTGTTGACGAGTGGATTTTTTTTATAGAATTAGTTATAACAAAATCTAATCCAGACTGGCAGAAACTTTTCTTCCCAGTATGGACTGCCATATGCCATTTGAGATTCATACTGCAAGAAAAACCTTTGCTACACACCACACAACAAAAAGGCTTCTCTATAATGTGTGTTTTAACAGGTGCTGTTTGAGAAGTGCATTTCGGGTAAATCTGATGCCACAGAATTCACAGTGAAATGGTTTCTCTCCTGTGTGTATTCTTATATGCTGTTTGAGACTTGAATTCCTGGAAAATGTTGCACTGCAATTCTCGCAATGGAAATTTTTCTCTCCGGTGTGCGTTAACATGTGTACCTTGAGGTGAGCATTTTTCGTAAATCTGACTTCACAGATTTCACAATGAAAGTTTTTCTCTCCAGTGTGTATTTTTATATGTTGCTTGAGATTTGAATTGGTGGAAAATGTTGCACTACACTTCTCGCAATGAAAATTTTTCTCTCCGGTGTGTTTTAACATGTGTACCTGGACATGTGCTTTTTGGGTAAATCTAACTCCACAGATTTCACAGTGAAAAGGTTTCTCTCCAGTGTGAATTCTCATATGCAGCTTGAGGCTTGAACTCCTTGAAAATCTTGTTTCGCAGATTTCACAGCAGAAGGGCTTCTCCCCAGTGTGCGTTAACATGTGATGGTTGAGAGTGGAGCTTTGGGAAAACCTGCTTTTGCAGATTTCACATTTAAAAGGTTTCTCTCCGGTGTGTGTTAACATGTGCTGCTTAAGAGTGGAATTTGTGGAGAATTTAGCACCACAGGTTTCGCAATGATATTGTCTATCCTCTATATGTGTTTTTACATGTGTCTCAAGTTGAGATTCAGTGTGAAATGCTAGTCCACAAATTTCACACTGTAAAGACTGTTTCTTTTCATTAATATTCATAACAGCCTTCTGATAATATCTAGAAGCAAGCTGCAAAAGGAAAAAGCAAACAGTCAAGAACAAATATTATTCAA